CAGGTTTTTAACCTTGACATATCTCGTTATCTCTTGAGCCAGTCCGGTTAGGTCCCTAGAGCCTGTTTTTTTATTTATTTATTTAATAATAATAATAATCTGAGTTTCAAAAACACCAAGTATTGAGTATCCAAAAATTGGGTGGTCTCTATGTAGCTTTGTGATGTTATTTTTTTTTAGGCCAATACACGGTGCATATGAAATTTTAGTTCTTTTGTGGTTGGTCACTAGGCTGAGGAGTACAGGATACAATCAGGTCCTGATAGCTCGACCCAACCTAGGTTTGGGTCTGAACCCAAATGCTAGATCCAGCATATCAGTTCCAGGTCCATTTGACCTTGATCCAACTCTTAGGGCAAGTCCAAGTCCAATGACTTGGACAATGCTTGTCCAGCTGAAGCAATGACCACGACCAAATCTGGGATTGGGTCAAAGTATGACACAATCAAGTCGAATTCTGGTCGACCCCAACGCAGATCCAATGCGACCCATTTACAGTCCTATTAAGGAAGTTGAATCCCAAAGCTCCCCAATGGGTATATAATCTTTTGACAAGACTTTTTGTTTTAAGGGCTTCGCTAGTGGGGCTTTATAGACCAAGTTGTACAATGCCACTCACTTACTGGAAAATGAGACATCATTCCTCAATCTAGAAACTGTTCTTCCCTTCTTTTGTTTCTTTTGTTTTAAGGAAAGGTGGGAGATAGAAACTCATGAACCAAGGGATTTGTTTTCTCTGTTGCTTCTGATTTCAAGTTTACAACCCATTTAGGTCTTGTCATGGAGCAAGGGCAAAGATCCTCACTCTTGTTTGTTTAAGTCAACCAATGTGTCTTTCACTTCTGCCTGCCTACCCTTGAGATTAGTTCATTTTCTTTTCATTTATTCTCTTTCTCATAATATTTTCATGGCCTCAAACATAACAACGGGTGGCAATGAACGCGAGACCCGAGGGGCAGACCCGATCTAGGTTGGGGTATGGGTCCAAAAATTGAACACGCCAGGTCGGGTTCAGGTCCGATAATATTTTTCGGGTCTCAATATATGTGATATATATTTAATGTAGTTAAATACATACACATTTTAATTTTTGGGTCGGGTCCGATTGGGACCAGGTCCCATGCTATTTGGGTCCGGGTCCCGTGAATTCAGATCCAGGTCTGGGTGCCAAGCCTAAACATGACATTGTCCCTCCTTGCATTTTTTAATTTTCTTAGTTTTACTTTTAATGCAAATTTTCTTCTGCTAGTGGGAAAGTTGAATCTTAGAAACTAAAGGCCAAAGTCTTGTCGTGGAGCATAGCCAAAGTCTTTTAATGCAAATTTTTCTTTTGCTAGTGGGAAAGTTGGGTCTTAGAAACCAAAGGCCAAAGTCTTGTCATGGAGCATAGGCAAAGATCCTCACTCTCTTGTTTGTTTCAGTCAACCAATGTGTCTTTCACTTCTGCCTTCCCTTTGACATTAATTCATTTTCTTTTCATTTATTATCTTACTCATAATATTTTCATAGCCTCAAATATAACACTGTCTTTCCTTGAATTTTCGGTTTTCTTAGTTTTAATTTTAGTGCAAATTTTCTTTTGCTAGTGGAAAAATTGGGTCTTAGAAACCAAAGACCAAAGGCCATGTCCTGTCATGGAGCATAGGCAAAGTCCTGACTCTTGTTTGTTTAAGTCAACCAATGTGTCTTTCACCTCTGCCCGACCTTGACATTAGTTCATTTTCTTTTCATTTATTCTCTTTCTCATAATATTTTCATAGCCTCAATTATAACATTAACTTTCCTTACATTTTTAATTTTCTTAGTTTTACTTTCTTTTGCCAGTGGGAAAGTTGAATCTTAGAAACCAAAGGCCAAAGTCCTAAGTCATAATTAATGAGGCAAATGGCTAGACAGAGTACCATGGTTTCCATTCAAATAACTATAGTGCCTTGCAAATGAATCTAATGTCTTGTATTGTGATGTATACTTCTTAGGAATAGAATATTTGAGACATTGTTTGAGTGCCAAATGTTGGCATGGTATATAAAGGGCCTTATACAAAACACCTTTATTTCTATATATAGAACCTTACATAAAACACTTTTATTTCTATTCATTCTTACATTATGCCTGGCTTATTGAAAAGGCAGACTTCCTAGAGGCATGGTGAAGCAATAGAGGGCTCTTCTCCTCCCTATTGCCATAAAGGTTTTTTTTTTTTTGGAAGTTAAAAAGCTTTTTAAAACAAAAGTAATAAGCATTGTTTAAAGGAAAATGGTTTCGCATGGCTGCAGCCCTATCAAAATAAGTAAAGCCTCTGATAATAACTCATCGAAAATTGTAATTCGTGCATTGGAAAATCTTTACATTGTTCATCTCGACTTGAACATTATAGTTGTGAAAAAATTAGGATTTAAAACTCTAAAATATAGTGTATATCTTAACAAATATCTAATTGTCCATTTTGCCCTAAAAATAAATGTTCAAAGATCCACAAGATCTGTATACTTTTTTTAATTTCAACTTTTATTGTCGGTATTGGAAATTGATTTTAGAGCCACCATGGAGATTTCCGTGGCCGAAAGTGCTTTCTAAACAAAAATTTAAGGTGAGGCTTAATCTGCTTTTCATAGAGCCGAGCCCTTATAGAAACTTCATCCTCGTTTAAAAAACTAGATTGGGTCAATCAAGAATTTTTTGCCGATTACATATTAGCCTTATAAGTGTGTTAGATTTGCAGATTATAATTTATGAATGGAAATTAATTGCAATTTGGGACACCCCTTGCAATATATGACAAAACTACTTGGGGTGATTTTTCATCCATGCTGTACTCTCTCTCTCTCTCTCTCTCTCTCTCTCTCTCTCTTTCTCTTTCTCCTCGCCCACGACCACTGCATCCGCTCCGCCACCTCCAATTAGGGGTAGCAAGAGGTCGGGTACGGGTTGGGTCAGGTCGGATCCAAACCCGAATGGACCCATACCGGATTGGACTCGACCTAAAAATAATATATATATATAACAAAAACATATAGTTATATTAATTTAAATATTATTTATATAATAACATTACTCAAGTTGGGTCCACATGGACCCGGACCCAGACCTAACCGGCCACGTCCAATTCTTGGACCTATATCCGGACCCGTGTCAGGTTTGGGTGTCGGTCGGATGATGTCCATTGACACCACACCTCCAATTGTGGGTAGTGAAGCAATTTCCCAACATTTTTCCATGTAAAGCCAATACAACCAATTCATGTGCTCTGTTATGAGAATACTTGTCCAATTCGTACCCTTTGGTAAAACCCTAGATAGAAGCATATCAGAATTTTGAAGATTTAATTTCCTCAACCTAGTGATCTAATCTAAAGAAAAAGAACCCCACGCACTCTATACGTGCCCAGAGAAAATAGCACCCTACCATTCAGCAAATGTAAGTGTTTAGGTACTCAAAATCTAAATCATAGAAAAAAACGTTTATACAAGGTTGTAACCCACCTCAAAGATACACTAGAAAAGAGTTATCTAAAGTTAAAAACAATTTCAAGTTTTAAAAATAGTAGACTTATAACAAGTTATTCGATTCTCTAGTTTCAAATGTTTATATATCTGCTCAATCTACACATTTTTTTGGAATTCTAAACTTCATAATTTGGATTGAACATAGATTTTCAAGCCAGAACGACTGTCTTTTGCTTGAGTGAGCAAGAGCACAGTACAATCACTCGAGGACTACTCCATGTGATACCCAAAACGAACTCTCTTTTTCCCTTTGAGAAGTGAGATCCTATTGTAAGTGAAGGCAGGTGCCCTTAACAAGGGTGGCAAGGTCTAGCTTGTGTGGGACCAAATAGCCAAAAGTATTGCACCTAATAGAGGAGCATCTGTGTCACCATGTTAGTACTATAGAGGGGCATTTTAGTCATGTATGTGCCCTTTTTTAATGAGGGGCAATTTAGTCATTCTCCAAAAGAACCCCTCGGTGTCCCCCAAATTAAAGGCATCATCTTTGTCCAAGAGCATGCATTGTGTTTTCTCATGAGGCCAATTTAGTATCTTTATTCCAAAACCACCCTTTGTCCTTTGTGATGAGGAACAGATTAATGATTCTCATCCTCATCTATCATCCCGGACATTCCCTAATATTGGTAATATAGGAAACATTATATGCTCTCGACGGAGCATAATGTACAGTTGGTCGACCAAGTAAAAGACCTGATTGGGGGCTATTTTCTTGATCTGAAGTTCCAGTTTAGAATTGGATCTCTAAAATAAGTAAATAAAATGAGATTCTTAAACATCTAGATCTGACTTATTATCAAATAATCATATTGTCTTTATTGAACTTATCTTATTTTTTAAATTGGCTTCTAGGTTGAGCAAGCTACTTCCCCAAGATACTTTTGGAGTTCAAAGAAGGGATTGCCTATAAAAAGACAGTTTATTTTTTGTACATGTAGGTCAAAACCGTTATTTTCCCTTATAATTTCAAAATGGGTTGTTGTAAAAGTATCATTGAATAGACACAATGTTTCTCAAAAAAAAAAAAAAAATCTCAGTTTGTGACTCAACCCAAGCTATCCAAGTTGACATCTAATGAGTAGGACTGATTGTGACCTTCATAAACAAAAGATAAATGGTCTCTTTGCAGACAATCCCTTCGAAAAATATACCAGGCGAGAGAGGCATCAGAGAAGCAAATGTACACTTTGCACCTGCGGTAACATGAAATCTTTCGAACTATTCCTATTCTTAGGTGATGACATTTTGGTTGTTTCTCCAAATGTAACCATTGCACCCACCCCTGCTACCTTTTGATGAAAAAAGCAGACAGTTGTAACAAATTATCCCTAAAAACTGAAAGTAAATAAAGGGAGCTTTTCATGGGTAAAGCAATGCGTCTTTACATAAAATAAGTCAACAAGCCGTTTCACTTTTGTTGGCTCTTTCCCCCTCTCACTCCTTTAAATCTAGACACAAAACACAATGCTTTTTCACCTATTTCTATTAGTTATTACTATTATCAGTTCCATAAAGTCTTATATTTATTGTTATTATGAAATCGTAGCCCTTTTATTATTTCAACTACTAGTGATAGTACTATTCATAATTATTTTTATTTTTTGAGTTCTTGAAATGGGAAATTCAGGAAAAGGATTGGTGGGGTGGTTTTTATTAGGGTTTTTCTTGATGATCTTTGGGGGCAATTATGAAGTGAATGGTGCAAAGTTGGCTACTGCAATGTTCAATTTTGGGGATTCATTAACTGATTGTGGGAATAACAATAACTTGGCTTCTTTGGCTAAATCTAACTATGTGCCATATGGGATTGATTTCTTCATGGGGCCTACTGGGAGGTTTTGCAATGGAAGGACAATAGCGGATTTCCTGGGTGCCTCTCTCTCTCTCTCTCAAGTCTAATTTCTACTTCTCTCTTGCTCCACTATTGTTTTTTTTTTTTTTTTTTTTTGAAAAGAAAGGAAAAGATTCTTGCTCCACTATGTTTAATCAAATGTTCGCAATATCGGCTGGTTCAACTCGAAACCGACCGGTTAGATCGGAACCGGGCAATGACCGGTTTTGGTTTTTGCCGGTTTTGGTGATTTGAAAACAAATTATATAAAAACTTACAAAATAAGGGATTTGTTTGTAATGCGTGTTTTCTTTTTTTCTTTTTTTTTTTAATCATGTCGCAAAGATTGAAAAGTGTTTTGCTCATGAATATTTATTGTTTTATATTTTTCTCATTTTTTAAAAAAAAATTAAAAAATACCCCTAGACACAAATCAATATTCTAAAATCCAATTTTTCACTAATTTCAAACTTCATTTGGATGTATTTTGTTTAATCATGTTTTAAATATACTTTTCATAATTTTTTGTATTTTTTTATTTTTTAACACTTTTTTTACTGGTAGGGACTTGCCTGGTTAGGCAGGTTTACCGGTTACTCATTACCGGTATCCAAGGCCGGTTCAATTTTTTGAACATTGGTTTAATCTCTCTTTCAATGAAGTCTGATTTCTTTTTCTCCCTTTCAACAGAGTTTGATGTTTTTTATCCCTTTTAAAACTTTTTGGTTTCAATTTCTTTGCTTCATAGTGTTGTTTGTATATATTTTGCTCTCATTATTCTCTTGCTTTAAAATATACAATTACAAACAAAAAATCTCTTAATAAATGCTTAGGTTTGTATTTTGAAATGGAGGTTGATGAATTTTGGTGTTACATAATTTTTGAAATGCAGGTGAACTCTTGGGTCTTCCTTATATCCCCCCATTTGAGGACCCAAACACAAAAGACAGAAATCTACTGAGTGGAGTAAACTATGCATCCGCAGCCGCAGGCATTCTTGATGAAACGGGCTACCAACTTGTGAGTACTCCTTGCTCCACATCAGTTTGTGTTTTTATGCATGTATGAGAGAGAGAGAGTTCTACCAAGTCCTCATTAATGTTTGTGTTTGTGCATGTAAGAGAGAGAGAGAGAGAGAGAGTGAGGGTGTTAGGAAGACTTAAACCAAATTCAACTGCAAGAATAATGCAAACTGGATCTACTTAGGCTTCAAGCAGGTGCAGTGAATACAAGCTCAGAGGGGGTGGTGGAGAGAAAGTAATAACTATGTTTGGAACTTAAATGTAATTTATGAAATTTAAGGGGAAGAAAGTGATCCTAGAGAGAGAGAGAGAGGGAGAGGAGAGAGAGTAATAGTTATGTTTGGAACTTAAATGCAACTTCGAAATTTGGGGATATAGTCTGAAACTTATACGTAATTTATGAAATTTTAGGACAGTAATAATTTCGTATGGAACTTTAATGTAATTTATGAAATTTGAGGACAGAGAGATGCAAGAGAGAGGAGAGAGAATAATAGTTATGTTTGAAATTTAAATGTAATTTATGAAACTTAAGAGCGGGGAGAGAGAGGAAATAATAGTAATTATGTTGACCTTCAAATTTTTTCTAAAATACAAAATGTTTTATTTATTGGCAGAAATTACAAATAAGGTTGGTCAACCCATTTTTTTTTATTTTTTTCAAAATTACCTCTCGGTCTAAAGATAAAATCCTCCGTCCGAATTTTATTTTATTTTTTTAGTTTTTTCATTAGTAGAGCAGTGCCCCAAGCTTTAGGGCAAAGCCCTATTAATGAAAAAACTAAAAATAATTTAAAACTCAGTTCGAGGATATCCTCGTATCGAGGGGCAAATTTGAAAAATAAATAAATAAATAAATTGACCGACCTTATTATAATTTCCACTTATAAATGAAACATTTCATATTTAAAAAAAAATTTAGAATCCGTATGTAAATCACTCAATTATGTTTGAAACTTCAATGTACATTTAAAAAGAAAAAGAAACTATTCACCAAAAAAACAAAAACAAAAACTTCAATATAATTTATGAAATTTGAGGGGAAGAGAGAGAGAGTTAATAATTAATGACAAGGCAAGAGTGAGAGAAGTAAGTTAATAATTAATGAGTTGAGAGAGAATAGTAAGTTAATAATTAATGGCTAGCTTTGGACATAGGTTTTAACTGGATGAAATGAGAGTTGTAAGAGAGAGAGGAGAGATTTGTAAGTTAATACCTAAAAATGAGTAGGGTTGTTGGAAGTTAAGTGTGGTTAGATGAAGTGAGCAGGGTGATCGCATAAGCTTAAGCCAACAAGTGCTCAACTTTGAGAGCACATTGAATGAGCTACGAGGGGTGCTTGGTGGGGTCAACCCTCGTTTGATGGAGTTCTTGTCCAAGAGCATTGCTTTCGTTGTGTTTGGGAGCAACGATTACATTAACAATTATCTGCTCCCCTCTCTATACACCACCAGCTACAACTACAGTCCCGAGGCCTACAGCAACCTCCTCCTCACCCACTACACCAGGCAAATCTTGGTCAGCATCTCTCTCTCTCTCTCTCTCTCTCTCTCTCATCTAAAAAAGAAATTCTCTTTCGCGTTATTCATCGAAGACTCATGGCTTGAGAATATTTACCCCGTTTGGATACGAAATTCCGAAACTCGAATTTCAGACCGTGTATAGATCCAAGATTTGGATCCAATGGGTCGGATCTAGATCCAAATAGCATTTTGGATTGGATTCGAAGACAAGTATATCCGATACGGATTCGACCTAGTTATTAATATATTATATATTATTTTATATATGCATATATGTTATATAATATTATTTATATAATATTTTATAGATATAATATTTTGTTTGAATCCGATTAGATGTAGCTCTCATGTATATAATTTAGATCCAAATCCGAATCTAAATATTTTGGATCTGATTCGAATCAAGATCCCATATATACTTTTTGGATCCGAATCCAGATCTTGATAGATCTGACCCATTCTCAACCCTACTTGAACCACTCTAAGGAAAAAAAGTGATTCCTTTCTCTCTACTTATCTAAATAAGGATATTCTCTCTCCTCAACTTGTAACAAAAACCAAGCTCTCTCTCTCTCTCTTTCTCTCTAGAAGTGGCCAAATGTTTGATGAATGGTGTTATTGCAGGCACTGCACAGTTTGGGGCTGAGGAAGTTTGTGTTGGCAGGGGTGGGACCCTTGGGCTGCATCCCTAATCAGCTGGCCACTGGCTTGGCCCCCATTGGCTCTTGCGTTACCTATGTTAATGAGATAGTGGGGAGCTTCAACATTGGGCTTAGGGACTTAGTCACCCAACTCAATGCCAACCACCCCAATGCCACCTTCATTTATGGCAATGTCTATGGGGCGCTTGGCGACATTCTCCACAACCCTAGCACCTATGGTACCTTGCTTTACATGCCTTCTTCCTTAGATGGAGAGAGAGAGAGGAGTCGAGCTTGAGCTCAAGTGCTTAGCAGTTTACTTTTGCAATGCTACATTTCAAGTTCGATTCCTATCGTTGAACTACAAAAAGGATTCGCTTGGAAAAGTTGTCTTTGTATATTTCTAATAGCAGGGTAAATCGGGTCGCGCCGACGTAGCAAGTGTAGTGGTGCAAATCGGATCGGGTCGACCAAGCAACTAACAAGGTCGACCCGACCTGGTCTAGGTATGGAGGCAGCCAAGGTCCAACAGACTATAAAATATCTTATGCTCCCTTGAAAGCATATTATTTTTTGCTCCCTCAAGTAGTGTTCCTATGACTCCAAATTCTTTGCAAACTTGTGGACACAGCGAAGATCCGCATATAAAAAATTTAATAATAAAAAAAACATTGGGACTCTAGGAATGGCTAAAAAAATAGTGTTTCAATGGGGATAGTCCAAGTTTTAGGCAGTTAAATTCAAGTGTTTAAAGACTCAAAATCCATTTTTATTTTTCAAAAACAAAATACAAGTGGATTCCAAAATTTTAAATAAAAAAAATCCCCCCAATCATGCTTATAGGGTTGGGCATGGGTCCGATAGACCTGACCCAGTCAAGTATGCATCTGACCCAGACCCTGCCTGGTCAGGTCCGGATTAAACTCGACTTGATCCATACCCGACCAGTTTGCAGCAATAGAAAAACCATGCGTCACACGTGTGCATGTGAGAGAAAGTCGAGGGAGAGAGAGAGAACAACATGCAAAACAAGTGACAATCTGATGGATGTGGGTGGCTTGAATTGCAGGTTTTAAGGTTGCAAACAGGGGTTGTTGTGGGCTTGGGAGGAATGAAGGGCAAATAACATGCCTTCCACTGGCAACGCCATGCCCCAACAGGAATGAATATGTGTTTTGGGACGCCTTCCACCCAACTGAGGCAGTGAACAACATATTGGCACACAGGGCCTTCACAGGGCCCCCTTCGGTTTGCTATCCCATCAATGTTCAGGAACTGGCTATGAGATGATCAACTTGAAAGGCCACCTAGAGAGAGAAAATCTAAATGTTGAAGAGAGAGAGAGACTCTAAAATGTTGGTGTCAATGTTCGATGTAGAGAGAATCTAAATGTTGGAGAGAAAGAGAGGCTTTCAACTAAATATGTATGTTTATAAAGTGTGAATAATTCCAAAGAGAGCTGTGCACTGGACAGAACTCTGTTTTCCACCTTATATTAGGATGATTATCTTGCGATGGGTAGGATCTTTCATGCAATGCCTCCCTCCCTCTCTCTCTCTCTAGAATATCACAAGTCTTTGCCAAGCGAAATGCTAAAATGTTATTGCAAACATTCAACAACACATTATTAAGGTACTACAGAAATGAACTCTCTCTCTCTCTCTCTTCTCTCTCTCTCTCTCTCACACACACACGAGACAAAATTGGGAACAATTCTAATTTCTGTACTTAGCACCATGGTTTACAGATACACACAGGCCATCGACAGGGCTAACTGATGGTCGTCCTGCTGAACGACTCCACTGTCAAATTGGCGGTAAATGCAGGAATAGCATTCCATTTCCGTACATATATCTCCATCTGCAAAATAAAGAAATAAATAAATAAATACTGATACAGTATTACATTTTCCATTAGGATAGAGATTCCGTGAACCAACCAGCCAACAGAACAGTATAGGCTGGATGACCCAGATTGAAAGACAGGAGGTGATCTGGACAGCCTGAGTTTGCCGGAAATGGTATACATTTTGGCCCAAACTTTTTGTGCATGTAAATTATTTTAGAGCACCTATACGAGGTGAATGTGCACAAAGTTTCATGTCCACAGAACTCGCTTTTTTTCCAAACAAAAGAAAAAAAAAGAAATCTAGCATGCAATGCTGCACATCCAAATCTGAGAGCTTAAATCTGGGCCATCAGGCCTACAGTGCTCCTTAGGCCCTCGGGCTCATATGATCTTTCTCCTTATAATAGTATCCTTAGGGAAAAAATTCACCTCGAAAAAGAATCCATAGAGAAAAGGTAGCTTTGGTTACCTGCTGGGCTATGTCAGGCTGAGAGGTGTAAGTGTTCATCTGCAAAGCAACGAAAATAAAAGAAAGTCAAAAACAATTTGAACGTAGAACTACAAGACATTCTTTTAAGGAAAATAATTGAAAAAGACAAATTACCACTATATTAGTGTTGCCAGATTCATATTCAAACTCGAGTTTCTCATCGTCACTTTGAGCATATATAGAATGCAGGGTAAAGAATGTCACAGGGATTCCATTCGGCCGTTGTTGATCATCCATTACAATCTGAAACATTTTAAGAAAGTAAACATCCCTTGATCACACACACAAGCATACGCACACAATGCCATTGTTGATCATCCATAGCAATACGATACTTTTCAAGAAAGTAAACATCCCCTGATCATACACATACACACCCACACACACACATGTATGTCAGCAATCAGCATGCATGCACATGTTTATGCAGCTGAAAGTATATCATAATCCACCAGACTATGGACTAAGCAGAACTGGGCATTGTGCTAATGGGTGGTCACTCTCTATCTCGGACACCATCCATCATATTATTGGGTATGTGATGAATCCAGCGGGCTATGGATACTATAGTTCACCTTGTAAGTATGTGTATATGTTGGCTCACTTTAGTTTGTGTGATCATCTATGGCTTATGGTTGCATGCACCTATGTGACACTGCATTTTACGTTCTCATGCATCCAAAATGGTAGATACTAGCTAAACATATTGTAGGATAACATGTTTATGCATGTATGCATCAGTGCATGGACATGTACGTATGCACGTCAAACCCAGGAGTATAGGTTCACATATGCCATCAGGCAAGTGTCGTATAATCCCATTCTACAAACATGGAGACCATGATGTTCCATCAGAAAACTTATCCAGTTTGACCATTCTTTTGTTTCTTTGTCAGTTCCTCTTATGTGCTGTCTACCTTTTCAATATAGTCATTATCACTAAAAAAATATAATTATCCTATAACATTGGTGCAGTATTGTAATGAAATCCAGCTTCTACTCCCCATAATGGACAGCGGAGATTTACTGCAGTTCATCATGATCAGAAAAGTGGAGATTGACTGCAGTTCTCCAGGACCAAATCACCAGGGCAAGGTCTATCTATCTCCAGCTTCATTGCGAACAGATGTTGCACGCCACAGTGGCCACAGTGGCCATGTAACATAAGTGGTGTATGGTACATTTTTCCTAAGTTAAGGAGGTTACCTTATAACCAAAAAGTGCACAGCATGCTCGTCTGAAAATGGAGATCTTCTCAGCAAATACTGTCTTGTATCTGTTTCACCAGCAAATACATATATAAATATGGTTTGTTTACTATGCTAGCATTTGGGTTTCGAACACTATGTTAGCAACTCGTCAACCGTCCAAAGTCAAGAATGGATCATTGAGGACTTGCTACCAGACTATTAGAACCCAAATGCTGGCAATATATTATTTTCCAATAGCGATATCCAATAGTTATTCTAAATGAAAAGGAACAAAATCACCTTTCTTCACGCTTCTCTAGGGTTGCAATCTGTTTCTTAAGCTCTGCAAGTTTCTCAGTTATGGAAGAGTCAACAAGATGCCCAGCATCTGATAATCCATTCGCATTATGACCCCATTAGATATGCATGACTTGCATCTATACTTACTTTACACACAAAGAACTCAAATAAGATGCAAAAACAACTTTCCAAAAACGAAGCATACTGCTAAACATTCAAGATGAACATTCAGAGAAGTAAGTAAACTAAACAGTTCAAAGAAAAAAATGTATTTGGTTGATCCACACAGTAAACAAAAGAGCAAGGTTGACCCTGTTGGAACCTGGTTGAACAGGTCTATGGATCAGACATTATTTTCTTAAGAGCATATACTACAATCCAAGGACTATGGGAAAACCAAAGCCCACATTGCCATCCATTTAAACGGTGGCCACCAATAGAACAGGCCATAACCCCAATTTTGGGTCCCATACTCTATCATGGACCGTCCATCATATTAATGGATAGTACCCATTGGGTTATACGTTCCCTTTTGTATTTTAAAAAAGTGCATATGTGCAGACTGCTAACATACTCTTGGCAAAGGAAGCCTTGGAAACATGAAGTATTTAATAGCTATTAACCTGTCTGTCCTTTGAATTCCTCTACAGCTTTTAGCCTTGCTTGAGTCTTTTGCAGCTCATCACGTAATGCTTCTATGGTTTGCTTTGCTTCATTGTCAACACCAAGCGTATTTGCCATCCTCAGTACCTTTGTGTTTGCAGCCGAATAATCTCCATGACCCAACTGTGAGAAAGATTAAGTGTTTTATTGAGTACTACTGAATGTCTACAAGACCAATGGTCAAGTTAAGAATCAAAAGCACAAGAGTAAGAGAAAGTAGAGAAGGGGAAGTTTTGGAATCCACCCCAAGGTTTTCTTTTTGTTTGGAATATATCAAATAACAGTGAAAAGTTGACTGTTTAACATATCACCATAGGTGTGATTGGATAAATTTCAAACCCCATATTGATGTGTCATTTAATGGGGTATTTGAAAAGACTATTTAAAATCAGATAAAAAAATATGGATGAGATATTAAATAGTTCAACTCTTGGGTGTGGTCCTTTTCTTTTCTGTGGGAGAGGGGGGAGGGGAAGCGATGTGGTGGAGCGGGGGGGGGAGAGAAGAGAGAGAGAGTTTATTGAAACCCACCTTGGACTCTAGCAATGATATCTCAGAACGAAGCCGATAACCTTCACGCTCCAATGACTTTATCCTCCTTGCCTCATTGTTCAGCCGTTCACTAAGCAACTCTATTTCACGATGCTGGTTACCAATTACTTCCTTCTGCTCACAAAAACTATGTTCGAGTTCACTAACCATGTGTTCCTTTTCTGCAAGGGATAATTCAAGCTCCTGCAATGTCAATTCAAAACAGCACAGTAAAGAAGTCAGTGACTTGAGATGACTCATATAATGAACTAAACTCTCTCAAGATAACCTACACAGTGAACCAAACTCTCCCTCCCTCCCTCCCTCCCTCCCACTCAAAATGAGAAAAAAACTTGGAGGAATGAGATTTATGAACCTTGACACGGTTTTCATCTGCCCCACCAGTTCCACTAGTCCCATCCATCTTTCCAGCAATGGCTGCCTCTTTCTCATATGTCGCAATCAAAGCCCATAGCCGATCTCTCTCTCCAGTAATTGAAGTGACCTGCATTATTCATATTAAAATCACAAAAAGTGGGGCAGAAGCAAGTGAAGTTGGTAATCAACAATAATTACAGAAAAAAATCAGAACAGTCCCTAGAACACCTGCATAGATCGCGGTCCACAAACTCAAAACTTGAAGACAGTTCCTGCACTTGATGCTTTTTCGGAAAATCACTATTTTACCCTGGTCCAGGGTTTCAGAAAACAGAATTGAGACTCCTAAAGAGAGAAAACAACTGTGGCAAAAGAATAAATTAGACCAAATGCTCCCTGGTATTTCGAGACTCTGGACCATTTGCATGATGCAGTCACTTTCCCCACTAAAAATGGAAAAGGTGAACCATACGTCCTTATTGCATGGTAGGAGACATGCTACAAGAGGCAAGTTAGAAACAGCTAACAAGATTGCCACTGCAAATTTTAGTGACCTAATATTTCTAACAAATTGAAGCTTAAAAAACCAGAATGTAGGTAAATGTTGGGCAACCAGTCCCGAAAAAATCCATTTCAAATAACCATTTCAATCAACGTATTTTCCTTTTCAATCAATGAATCTGCATGTATGGCCAATTGATTGTATTTAAGGCATACAACCCATCATTAGATATAGAACAACAAGGGTAAAAAACACTCATATGGAGTTATACCTAAAAAATAAACCAGGGAATCCCACCGGACATTAAGCTGTTGGCCTATAATCACATATTAGGAAGTGAAAAAAGGGGGCATTCTGGGAGCACAACATAATTTAAATGGGGGTGTGATAAAAAATTATTCGGAAGCAAGGTTATGGATTAAAAGAAAAAGAGAACAAAATGTTATCAGAAACGAGTGAGTCCTAAATTAAACTGACAATCTCAGAAAATTTACTTCATCAAGATCCAGATCATAGCCTAGCAAGAACCCTGTCAGCTTTCATGTGAATTTTAGTACACGAGCTCTTAGTTATGAGTATCTTCTTGGGGTTACTGTGATAATGATGCCTCATACAAACAACATATAAGAAATTTTCCAAAGTAAAAGTGTTCAAAATTATTTGTGAAAAATAATGACTTATTAGGCCATAATAGATAGTTTACGAATTAAGAAGATACAACACTGTCGTAATAGAAAAATATGTGAATCAGTTAAAAAAAAGGAAAAGACAAAACTTTAGTTTAATTGTACATTGGGAAAAGTGAAATATCCATAAACTTCTACTTACAGTCAATTCAAGCCTCTTAAGCTCCAAGAACATCTCCTCCTCTTTCTTTTTCGCCAGACCCAATTGTGTTTCAGCATCCTGTTTATCTAAGAGAGCTTTTTCCAAAGTTATCTCCAGTTCTTTCAAGCGCCCATTGACCTCTCCCACTTTAAGCATGCTTTCTACTAACTCTCTGCATCACTTAAACTGCTGAGCAAGTACCAACTGAACCATAACAGTGAAACTGATACCATCACTTAAATGGTATTGGCAGTATAAGTAAAAAGTGGGACTTACTAGCATGAACACCAGACCACCATAAAACACAAAAAGAATTTCCTATGACTTTATACTCAAAGGGCTATATTTTCCTTCCACAGCTACGAATATCTCAAATCAAAGAGGCAAAAGAAAGGAGATCCAAAAATTATTAGGAAATATTATCCTATAAATATAATAGAAAATATAACAACAGATGATGAGAAATTTCTGCAGCCTCCAACCAACAAGTCTTTTAAAGGATACTCTACATGCTACAGTTATCTGTAACCAGAAGAGTAATTTGGCCATATGTATCCCATGCCACTGTATATAGGGGATCCTCTCTCCTCATTTTGTAGAAAATGAATACATAATTTGCACATTGGTTCTCCTTTTCTACATGATATCTACAGACTAGGTTATGGAAAACATCATGGCTTCTCGAGTAATCAAAGGTTTACCATTGTTGTACCATAGAGCTATGTCAATGCCATGATGGCTATGTGATTATTTCACAAACTGACAACAACAGAAAGGAGACTAAATATGCAGAAGAGGTCATGACAATACAAAAGGAACAGTTTAGACCTTAGTGGTTGCCAGCCTAGCCAGGTGGGAAATCAAATGGAGTTCCACGATGCGTGACAAATGGACATCGAGGACCAAATGACTGCGAACGTTCGAAGAAAACAATCAGAACTAATGTCCAAAGAGTCTGAGAAAGGTAACCCAACAACGAGAAATTGCAGGCTTAAAAATTGGGCTGTACATATAAATCGAAACAATATAGTAAAATCAAGTAGACTATGGTTTTGTGGACTATGGGAGGCCATTGGGTCATAAGTTCATAATTGTCCATTGAAATATGGATGACAATCAAGAGAACAAGATCCAATAAAACAGGACAATACGCAATGGTGGTTCACACTCTACCACCAAGAACATCCATCATGGTGATGACTCGATTGGATTATGGGTTCTCAATGGTCTATTAGATTATACCACTCTTTTCTGTAAATACTTCTGCACCCAAATGTTGCAATAACAAAACAGGATCAAACAATAACATTAGATAATGCAATGAGAATAGACGGAATACTTTTGCATAACGGCAAACTTTTTGGGGATGTCTTCACAACATTCTGCACCCGGTATTTCTTTAATCATTGATTTCCAAGGCATCAATTCATCCTGCAACTTGTCCACTTTAGTTTGCGACTCTTGAACTTTAATTAATTCGGCTTCTGCCTGTTCCCTGCGAAACCTTTCTTCTGAGATCTTCTCCTTTAGCAATTCAGCATTTGCATGGAAGGATTTCAACTTCCTAGCCTCTTGCACCTCAGATTCCTAGGATTCAACAAGAAAAAATCAATCAAAGATAAAAGATAATGAAGTAACATAATATACAAATATACACCAGAGATCTAATACATTGAAACAAAATCAAATCAAGAATAGAATTACCAAACTCCATATTTAAAGGTTCTATCAAGTCTATGATTGACATGGGGGTGGATTTTCTCAGGGATTGTTGATTCCCAAGAAAAAGAATGATATGCTAGAAAGTCAATTTTATCATTTTCACCTAGTGACAAAGATTGCAGACTCGATAAGCAGGTACAGCCTTCAAAACACAATAAGAAAATAGTAGGTCCATCTTTCCCTCCAAATTTCAACTTAACTCCTTCCCATACCCTATAAATTCCAACGTCAACTGAAATCTATTTCCCTGATTGAAGGCCACTTGTCAAGGAGAGCTCCTGCAAAAGAATGAAATCATCTCCAGAATATTATCTGCTACATTAGTTTTATGTTTGCATCTCATAGATTTTCATGTTTGAAGCATGTTTTAGACTGATTTCTCTGCATGAGCATGTCCTTCGAATTGGCAGCTCCTGAAATTTTGATAAATTTATTCAATAATTGCATATAGGTTTTCTCCCATGCCTAATCCAACAACGCAAATATCAATCCCTCCAAGAGGGACCATACTTCTATTCAAACTAGCCCCCATAGCATAGTGTTGCTGATGTTTGTAATTAAGAAATTGGATGATATCCTCGTATCCACACAAAATGCCCCAACAATAAGAACCAAACAGGTAATTATCCAATAACCATGCATAGGACAATCAAATCTTCTTCATTTATGACCTCAATAGAAATGAATCAAGCCACCTAAAATGGCGGTTCTTGTAAACCTCGATTAAAGAGAGCAACAGTTAATTTAGTTGAAGTATCACTGCATATTAAACTCTAATGTTTATGAAGTTCATAACCTTAGAACACCCAATGACATCATAGAATAAAAAAGTCCAGCAGATCCAAACTTCAAATATATAACTAAAACACCAAGAAACCACAAAAGATAATGTAGCAAATATATAACTAAAACACCAAGAAACCACAAAAGAAAATGTAGCGTTGGAAACAGTTTCATGCTAGAACAAGGAAAGAAAAGATAAAAATTACTGCATGTAATAGAAAAAGAAATTTGATGGAGCCGATTAATAACTTACATAGTTGCGAAGCTCATCTTGCAGATTCTTTATTCGAATGCGTGTTCCCTCAGAATTAGGTTCTTGTGTTGGCACATTTAAGCTTAGAAGCTTGTTCTCTGCTTCATTTTTCTTCTGTATACACTGAAATGAAAGATAAAAATAATAGATATCCACATTTCAGCTCCATAGAATAAAGTATAAACCTTTCTTATGCACAAGCACACACACAGACACAATTTCTTTAATGCGACAAATAATCTTGACAAATAACAAACCCTGATAAAAGATAAGTGCCAGAAACATATTATTTCTTTTTTTTTTTAAGATCTTAGAGTCAGTTGTATTTACATACTGCTGTGCATCTTCGTATGTACCTACGGAGATCATCCTTATCATTTTACTCTCAATAGTAATTTAGTCATTTAATTTGTGTACATATAAATGTCATCACAATTTCCCAGCCCATGAGCATCACGATACAAACTTCCACCTTGTTTACTTGATATTTGCATGAGATTCCAAGCCTTTTTTTTCCCCTCAATATTTACATGTGAATCAACCTGAAACATTCTTTCTTTTTACATATATGAGAACTTGGCTCTCAAAGGTTGCTGTGAGAACTTTTTTTTCCCCTCGATATTTACATGTGAATCAACCTAAAACATTCTTTCTTTTTACATATACGAGAACTTGGCTCTCAAAGGTTGCTGTGAGAGGGTTTACCGGCATATTTAATTGATCCAACTGTGTTCTCTTCTCTTGCTTGAGTATTCTAGATGAATTTATGTATTACACGCATTACTTCGTCTTGATTTAAGCTAGCGACCTGTGGACAGTCATGGAATTTCATAATTGTGGAAGTGTTATATATATATATATATATATGGGAAAAGATGGGATTAGCCCACTAGCACATATGAACATATGAGCCCAACGGCCTAGATTGAATATGGGCCGATCTGACGATCACAGATGTCCGATAGTGTTTGAATTTTAGTTCTTTTTCTACAAATCCAAATCACTTTAAACTTTAGGCAGGTGTTCATAAACATAAGTGAATCTTTGAAAAATATCAAAAAAATATTTTACATAAATAAATTGACCAAAATACCCTTAAAAAGATTTGGGGGGTATTTTGGTCATTTTGTTTCTTCGAATAATTTTTTTTATATTTTTATTAGGTGTGTCTTGATGAGAAGAACACACACCTAAAATTTCAAGTGGTTTGGATTTGTAGAAAAAAAAAAAAATTCAAGCACTACCAGACATCTATGATCGTCAGATCGGTTTAGATTCAATCTGGGCCATTGGGTTCATATGTTCATATGAGCTAGTTGGCTAATCTCATCTTTTTCCTATATATATATATATATATATAACAGCAAAATTTAATCATCATTGTATATTTTAGACTGTTTAAGTGGTCAATGTAATGTAGGGAATTTTCTATCATTTTTTATTTCATTTGAACAGTTCATGTAATATACTCACGTCCAATATGTGCCAGTGTATTTTAAATATTTTTTTTCTAATTCTTTACTTAACCTATAATGAGAAAGGTCCACGAAAGCCACAAATCTTTTACCAAGCAGTCCCCTATTGGGCCGAAAATCTGAACTATTAAATTACCAAGACAGCATCTCTAACTGTCAACTTTTTTGCAGGCTATTATACACCAAATCCCTAATCTGGTGTCCACACAAGGGAGGACAAAAGGTAAAATAAAAGAATCATTTTAAAATACTGCAAGTATTACTTGATGGTTTGACTATCTTTCTATCTATATCACTTCATCATTTCATTTAATTATTCTAACCAAAATTTATCGGACATAAGTGAGAGGAGGTCTCCCCTTATTATTTAACAAGTATCCTTTCAAATTCCAAATTTTCCCTCTTGATTTTAATTTATACCATATTGATCCTTTAATCTCTTCATAAATCTCTCTCAATTAATGTGAATCACCTCTCTCACATCCATGTCTCTCTCTTTGCATCTCTCTCCTAAAGATGGGGATTCACTCATATTCCTAGAGTTAATTAGTTTCTTATGATAACTAGGAAATAGTAATTGTTATAATGTTAAACATCGTGATAGACACTTACCCAAAAAAAAAAAAAATCGTGATAGATATAAATACTACTAATTATGCTAAGGGAAAAGTTTATATAGAGATGAGGCTCTAAACAATCAAATTCGAGCCTACCTCGAAAATTTCACTAGAAGAGGTTGTTTTGATGCCCAAGTATCTTCAAATTGTCATCTCAACATCAAGATGCATGGACATGAGAAAAAAATCGATTTCAAGTTTTGGAAATAGTGTATTTTGTAACACATTTTTGGACCGTCAATTTTAAAGATTTTCAAGTTTTCATAAATCTCTCGATCTACATTATTTTTTAAGCTTTAAATTTTATAAATAAAGATGAAAATATATTTTAAAGCTATCAAAAAGATTTCCATAGTTGAAACCACATTTCTCGGCACTAGTTCAAGGTAGGCCCTAATTTAATTGTTTAGAGCCTAGGCACTATACAAACCGCACCCTTATACTAATAATAAAATTTTAATAAATATTATAATAATTACAAAAATAATTAAACTTCTAATTAAATATTATGATTACCGAATAATTATGTAATTTTTATTAATAGTAAACAAATCCTAATTTTATTTATGGAATTTGTCGATTTATATTAAATTTTATAATTAATAATATATCTGTAATTGAAGTATAATCATAATAATATCATCTCTAAGGTACTTAATTTGTACATTAATTTTCCTATGTTATTTTAAAAGGAAAAGTTTATATAGAGCCTAGGCTCTAAACAATAAAATTAGATCCCACCTCAAAAATTTCACTAGAAGAGGTTGGTTTGATCGCCAAATATCCTCAAATTGATCATTTCGACATTACAATGCATGGACATGAGAAAAAAGTGGATTTCAAGTTTTGAAAATAGTGCATCTTGTAACGCATTTCTGGACCGTCAATTTTCGAGTTTTTCGAGTTTTCATACGTCTACTCAATCTATACTATTTTTGAAGCTTTAAATTTTATAATTAAAGATGAAAATATATTTTAAGGCTATCACAAAGATTTCCAATGTTGAAACCACATTTCTCGACACTATTTGAAGGTATGCTTTACTTTGATTGTTTAGAGCCTCGGCTCTATACAAACCGCACCCTATTTTAAATATCACATAAATAATTTACTCAATTTGCAAAAACTTATATATAATATTCAATTGCATAATATAAAAAGAGAGGCATAGTCATAGTTTCTAATTTGATATATTATCTCATAATATTTGTATCAATTAACACATTAGTAACAAAACATTTCGATGAGACCTGCAAAGCATCTCACTAGTAATGGACCTTAATGCATAAATTTTAACAGGTTCAATCACCACCACTCGAACCCCCCCCCCCCACCCAAATTTGCATCTGCAATGAAGAACAATTCTTATTGTTGTGATATTTTTCTCAACTTCTAATTAAGAAAATATGGTGTAGGCCTGTTTTTTAGATGCACTGTTGATATGAAAGGTCAATCAGCTTGAAGACCTTTCTAAACAATCTAAGATCTAACCGAATGTAATGCAAGTAACTCGGAAATAAATTGGCATGGGAATTTGTCCGCCTTCGTGTTCTAACATCTGTTCTGTTCAAAACTTTCTTTTCTATTCATAACATCATCTTTCACAAAGCATTAAGTACCTCTTCTAGCTGATTTTTTAGTTCAAATAGCTGCCTCTTGAAAAGCTCTGCTTCCTTCTCTGCATTGATTGCTCTGCATTCGAATAATTCACGCTGAAATCGGCAAAAAGAAGTCAGTAACCAGTCAAAATAAGGGAATTTATGAAAAAAGTGCTGAAAAACCGACATCATTCATCAGAGCACTCCCACAACTGAGATATTCAAAACAATGCACAGATTAGTTAATTTATTTCAAAATAAATTGTTTTAACCAGTCCAATCAATAAGTTTCACTAAAATACTGCAACCTGTAGGTATTTTTATATTCCAAACCAAGGCAAACCAGCCAAACTTCGCAATGGTTTGCCCAACCACTATTTTGTGATTCCAGGTTTACGGAGCATCTGATGACTCGTGCAGGTTCAGGCTCTTTTGATATTTCATTTAAAACCAGTGTATTAAACGTGTATAAACCAAGTAATGAGCTTACCTCTGCATTGATTTTAGAAACAGAGAGCCTGGAATCATTCTGGAAATATGAGAGCTCGTTTTGGAGATGCTTTTTCTCCCTTTCTGCTATTTCTGTGAGCTTCTGAAGCTTCTCCTCTAAAATCAAGGCTTTTTCTTCAGCAGCAGTTGCTGTTGACTCCAAATTTTTTCGAATGTTAACTTCTTTCTTAAGCTTTACCTGGAAAAAACAACATACTATCAATATTTAAAATAAAATAAAAAATTGACACCATGAGCTAGCAAATGGCTTTCTCTGAATCATAAACAATAAAAATTGCCACAGATTAAACAATTCCACAGGGCCATAAAATGACAAAGAATCTCAGCAAGAATTGCATTGTTAGAAGCAGATCACAAGACAACTAGTACTGGAAATGGTTGAACAATCACCAGCACCATCATCATCATCCAAACTTTATCCGAACTATTTGAGGTCTGCTACACATTCTACCATTCTGCTCCACAAAGGCCATACCCTCAGTCAAACTATAAGTCACCATATCTCTTTTAACTACTTCCATCTATGTCCTTTTGGAACTTCCCCTTGCCCTTTTAGAGACTTCCACTTGAACCAAATTATACCTCCTAACCTGTGTTGTTCTGGGTCGCTGCATACGTCCAGATCACCTAAGTCTACTTTCCCGCATCTTATCAGTTATCACTTATTGGAACTACCCGTAAGTTCCTCTAATGTATTCATTCTGAATTCTATCCGTTCTTGTCTTGAGACTCATCCATCTCAACATCATCATCTCAACTACACTTATTTTATAGATATATTGTTTCTTGACCGCTCTACATTCCATCCCATAAAGCATACAAGGTCTTACAGTCATCCCATAAAACTTCCCATTCAGTTTCATAGGCATAGGTATGCGGTGATCACATACCAATAATTGACCACAGTTTCTATGATATTTAATAGACTAGGTATCATCAAACTCCATATAGAACCGCATAATCAAATTATGATATAGTTCCCACTTAAGATAAAGGGTTAGGGTCTAGACTAAGATAAGATACACGTATGAGGCAAAACCATGCAAAACTCCCAAGTGAATTCGTGCAAGGACAGAAAATGCTCCCTTTGTGAAGGTAAACTCATAGGGAAATAAAGATGTCCACTTCCAGAAGCAGATACTGCAAATAGTGGAGGAATCCAACAAGTAACATCTAAACAGGAGAAGCATAAAATGTTTTATTGAATGGAAAAGATAAATCCTCATAAGACGAAGCAAGCCATAACTCTCCCTTGGAAATTTCCGTTACTATTATCATTATTCTTTCTAATAGTATTATAATTATCATTACTTATTATTATTAACAAGGAAATACAATACTACAAATATTGGAGGAATCCAAAAAGTAACATCCTAATAGGAGAAGTCTAAAATGTTTTGATGAATGGAAACAGTAAATTCTCATAACACGAAGCAAACCATAGTTCTCTCTGATAAATTTCCACTCCTATTACCCGTTTATCACTGTTACTCTTGATATCATTATAATTAGGGTTATGTTAGGGTGCTCACACTATGGAGTAATTTATTATTGTACACAACAAATTTTGGACACTTCTATATCCTTATTTTGTACATGGAGCATTTTTTTAATAGGGTCTTTTTTATCATTAGGAAGGGTGTGATGTCATCCACATGGGGTGTGACATCACCTAAACACACTAGTGGCATTTAATGTACCATGTGGATAATGTCACACCCCATATAGATGACGTCACACTCCTCCTGATTATCAAAAATAACCTTACTAAAAAAATCCTCCATGTACAAAACAAGGGTATATAAGTGTCCAAATTTTGTTGAGTACAATGATAAATTACTCCATAATGTGAGCACCCTGACATAACCCTTATAATTATCTCTGTTTATAATTATTTCATTATTAACATCATGATGAAATCTCTCTCTTTCTCTCTCTCTCTCTCTCCACATTTTGTTTCTTGAGGACTTGAACATAGTAATACCTCAAGTTCACTATAATCCTTTAGTAATTTTTGATGTCTTTCCTGAAAATCAGTCACATCCTTCATGTACTGCTTCTGCAACATCTGTTCTCGCCCCTTGGCAGCAGCAAGTTCTTGCTCCACAAAACGTAGGCGACTTTCAAACTTCTTGCTTTCCACCTCTGCAATGAGAAAGAAAACGAACTCAAGACAATATGAAGACAGGCAGAAAGCATATATATTTGTGGAAGATGTACTATAATCCAATGATTCCAATGGAATGTGGTACCAAAGAGCATCCACCATCCATTCATACTCTCAGGCAGTGACGATTAGACTCAGTAGAGCCCACCTGGATGCCACTTTGGAGTACTGTATGACATACTCCATTGAACTATGTTATACTTTTTCATATAATATTTTTGGAAATGAGTATATTTCCAACATAATATGCAGAAATGTGTCTCTTAGGCTTCAGATTAGTGGCATACATCCCAGTTTGGGTGAGGGAGGTCAAGGGTTCAAACCCTAAGGAACCCTATGGAAGCTGATCTCCCTCCCTCCCTCCCATAAAAAAAAGGCTGACCTGCCCTCAATTAACTGCCCTTTTTTAAATGAGGAATGAAAATTTTATCTCATGTATATGATGAAAGAAACCAGTACAGCAGATAACATAACAACAAAATTATAAAGGTCCATGGAACATGGGCCACCCAAGTCCATATGTAAACATACAGTACTAGCACATAACCAATTTCATGCATTAAGCACCACACATTGTGTATCTTTCCCTTATTTTCACTGAGTAACACCTTGAGCACTGAATTTATAGCCAAAACCTTTTAAGCTTATGAACATTAGCAACAGATAGAGCATTCATCCAGATAGTAATACAACCAACATGAATATGTTTAGCCTGATTAAAAACATATATGAAATATCTTACTGTGTACTCTATCAATGTAAGTGTCAGTAAATTACACATATATATGCAAACATGTGCACACACACATACACGGTCTGAAATTATTTTAATTGACAGTATGCACTGCAGGCAATAACTTTTGTGCGACCCACCTTTTCTTTGCATCTCTTCATTCACCTGCTCGAGTTTGGATTGCAAAGAGTCCACTTCCTTCTCGTTGGAGCTCAATGCTTCCAAAAAGTCAGCTTTCACCTAAAAGAAGCATGCCAGAATGTAAAAAATATCTATAGGCTAAACGTTGAAACTACATATTTACAAGCCAACATCAAATTCAAACTCACCGTTGAGCACATTCTAAAAGGACTGCTTATTTATGATGCTATGATCGCCACATTTTGTAGAATATCTTACAAGAAACAATAATGAGTCCATAACTTATTAAAGGAAAAAACAATAATGAGTCCATAACAATAATGAATCCTAAGTAATCAAGTCAGGCTGCAGTATACGCAAATAATGCATGGCGTATGTGTTTAAACAATTAACTTGTAATCAGGGGCAAGAGAATAATAAAAATAAGATCTAAATAAAACCATTGGATAGATGATATACATGGAAAGAACAAGAAAATTAAACTCTGATGGAACCTATTGACATAAAAGATCGTCCGTGTCCCAACTGTGTAATCAGAACACATGACCAATTAGAATCTTTTTTCATCTCTGGTCATATGATGAGCCTTTTAGAAAAAATTGCACTTGAGCTTATAGAAAAACAATAAGTATGGAAGTTGAAAAGCAGTTTATGAGAACATGTCAAACTCAAATTTTGTCCGGTCAGAAGCTGTCTATGAAAACCCATCAAATTCATTTTTTTCTCTCATCAGAATTTTCTCTACCTTAAAAAATTGGGGATCGGTCTTACTTATATCGTTATGGTTGTCTTGACAAGACATTATGCACTTCCTCAAGGGCCCCAAAGCATAAAAGGTAGGATGAATAAGCTTTTATGGTGATTTCTAATGATGCTGGGTTAAAGAACTGGGCAAACTTTATTGCAATTGTTTGTTGAAAATTGAAATTGATGTTCTACCAAATCCTAAAAGAAGAAGCTTGTTTAGTATTTTGGATGATTGATTGGAAATCACATCAAGGTAAACCAGCCAGTGCTGCCGAAACTAGCTTTATCACCCACTCCAGTCGATGACAGTTCAGTTATATTCAAATAATGCTCAAAAATATTTATGAATCTTCAACTTTATATTTTAGAGGGCGAATTTCACTCAGATTTGGCATCTCTTCACATTCATCTTATTTGAATATACATCTTCTATGCTGATGGCGTCCATGACCATGAAGAAAACAGCTCAACAGGGAAATTTCTACAAGGAAAAGTGCATGATAAATATAATTCATCGAATGAATGAAACCCACCTCCGTCAAGTACCAGTTGCTGCCAAATGGGGCAGAGCACAAAGCAGTAAACAATTTAGGTGCACAAACCGGACACAGTATGCCATGAATTTGAGAAAAATCCAATTCATCAAAACAAAAATCAACGAGAACAATAAAAAAATACTGGATAATTTAAAAAAAATAAAAAATAATGCATGCATAATCTATAACCTGGAGAAAACCCTATTCGATAGTGCATTGATTAACCTGTAGAAAATTTTGAAATATTCATAAATTCAAGATGGCCCTCTAACGCTCTTCACGTTAGTTTATTTTTTTTCCCAGATTCGCACAAACATTGACTCTTCATGGAGTAAAATCAAATAATCAGATTGAAAAATATGAATTCGAGAAGAAGAATCACCATTTGACGACATTGGTAGGTACACATCAATGGTTCGGATACTTGATGGGGCGATTCGGGATTTGGGTCTTCATATATCACCAACTGGTTATCAGCTGTTATGGCAGGAAGGGGTTCCGATTTCCTCTTCTTTGGTGGAGTTCTCAGAATCATCTTGAATTGGGGTTTCTTGCACTCCTCTTAGAGATAGAATTGCAGAGAAACCTCCGCTGATTAATGGAGGTATTCCTCTTCGCGCGAGCAAAAATTGTGCGTATAGTCCCCCGATAGAGGGATTAATCGATATACAGAGAGATATTACTACCTTTCTAGAGAGAGAGAAAGATATTACTACCTTTCTAGAGAGAGAGAGCTTGCTACAGATACATTTGCCGCGCTTCACAGGGTCCGAACTCTCGAATTTTGGATTTGGGCCTTTTTCGTGATTCTTATTTTGCATTTAAATTTCAGATAACGACAATAAATTTAGTAAAACCACCCACAAAATGAAAACGTATTTCCCTCGAGTACTCCATTAAATGTAGACAAGTAAGTGACAAATTTTTGGGTGAGGTGTGTATGAGGTACGGACCTTATACCGTATATTGTACATGTACGAGACAACTCTAAATTTTGTCGAGTTTTGATGTTCAAAACTCTTGAAAATATATATTCTAGTTTAATCATGAAATTTAAAGTTTTGATCAGATCGAGCATATTTATATACACTTTTAGTTTTAGGACTTCAAAATTTTATGTACCCCGAGGTCGAGATGATCAATTACAACATTTTTTAACTTTGAAATACTTTTTTCACTGGATTTCTGAGGTGCAACTTACTTCTATGGTATAGGGTTGCAACCTTATATAATATGTTTTCTAAATTTTATAAAAAATAAAATATCCATGTAAGATGTTAACCTTATACTGTTGATATAAGGTGCACCTCAAAAACCCATCGGAAAATATTGTTTTGATGCTGGAAAACTCTCAATATGATCATCTCGACATTTAGATGTATGGATAGAAAGAGAAAAATAGATTTCAAATCATGAAACTAATGCATTTTGTGACGTATTATCTATACCATTCATTTTAAAAAAATTAATTGTTTTAATATCTTGACCATTTTTTGAGCTTTAAGTTTCATAACTAGTGCCGACGGTAGATTTTCGTATAATCACGAGGCTTTCCAACACTAAAAACTACATCCTTCTACGTAACTTTGAAGTGCGCCCAGCTTCGATTGCTTAAAGGTACTGCTTTATACAAACTTTACCTTTTAAAAAAAAAACTTTTTTTTAATAAGATCATAAATTTATTTTATTATAAAATGAGCCACTTCAAATAGAATCAATGCTCCCACCCATAATACGGTTAATCCGTTGTGACCATGTATGCCCGATTAATTTACCATACAAATTGATAAGTCGGGCTATTTAGTTAAAATCTTCGAAAGGCTTGTTTTTGATGTTTGGACTTTTGAACATGTGAAGTGTTTTAGGAAGTTGACACGAGACACAAGTATGTTATATATGCGTCTAAATTATCAAGATGCCTTGTATAATTTTAGGTGGTTAAAGTAGTGTATACTTTCCCCAAACGAGTAATGTTCTATGCTAGATGGTTACAGGGGGGTTAAAAATAAAGTATACACTAGATATTGTTGGTAGAATGAAAAGAGCGATGGTTAAGTTTTGGCAAATATTGAACATGGCACTAGGGATATCACTTCCCTTATGGTAACTATCCCACTAGAAATTGTATTTCTGTATATTTAGGTTTTAGGTCCTCATAGAAGATTATTTCAGAATACTGCACATAACTCTCTCTTTATTAAGTAACTAATAATATAAAATACCTGTATAAATATACGGTGCGTAACAATTAATGATAAATACCAATGGTTGAGGATAACTATTGACTAATCTTATCATAATCAAGAGACACCTAAATAAGAGATACATACCCATACATATAGGATATGTATTCGTAATGATATATCAATATAGATATCCATACGCTAATACTCCCCCTCAAACTCAATATGCTTTTACACAAGGCAGCTGGAGTTTGAACAATAAGTTGCATAAACGAACGAGTTGGATATTTAAGTTTTCACATGCATAACGTGACCAATAGAATTAGTGGTCTTTTGCTTAAACAATAAGCACATAATGGCACTTGGAAGAGCCAACAGAACTTGGTGTGGATCCGAGACAGATTCACAACTCACAGTCCATAACACAGGCCAGAACAAAATATAAAGGTTGTTTTGTAGAGAGTCAAAGCACGATTCGAGAGATAGTCGAAGTACGACTCGAGAGATAATCGAAGCACAACTCGGGAGATAGTCGAAGCACGACTCGGGAGATAGTCGAAGCACGACTCGAGGGATAGTGCATATCGCCCATTTTCAAGCCATTTTTAAAGGTGGATTTAGAGGCAGTTTCCAATCTGGCTCCCCAAATGTTTGGCATCATATGGGAGCATGACAACAATGGTTTACCACAATAACCCAACAGAGATCAGAGAAGTCCGGGTAGATCGCAAAAGATAAAATAGAGATCAGAGAAGTGAGAAGCGAAATAGAGTTTAATGGTTCACCGCAATAACCCAACAAAGATCAGAGAAGACCGAGTAGATTGCAAATTATCAAATAGAGATAAAAGAAGTGAGAAGCGAGAAGCGAAATAGAGTTTTCACATATCGCAAAGAATACGTATATCACATAGAGAAGGCCCAAACGCTGATCACATAAGGCCCAAAAAATATCGCATGTAACCTTGCTTTGATACTATGTTATAAACTGCATTTCTGTATATTTGGGCCTTAGGCCCCCCATAGAATATTATTTCAGAATACTGCACAAAACTCACTCTTTATTGATTGATTCATAATATACAATACCCGTATAATTATACGGTAAGTAACAATTAAAGGTAAATACCAACGGTTATGGATAATTACTAACTAATCTCATCATAGTCAAGAGACACCTAATTAAGAAATATATACCTATACATATATGATATGTATTCATAGTGATATATATCAATATAGATATCCATATGCTAATACACTTTACTATAATTAATAAATCCCATTGCCTTTGGGTGTTTTGTTGTTTTAATGAATCGTTGTTATTATAATCATATTAGCTCTTAAATTAGTGAGGAAGTTAGTTAAGTCAAAATTATAATTAGAATGCGCATTGCACCATGAGAGGTTTATTTTTTTCTTTATTAATGGCCCCATCAGCTAAATAAAATTTGGGGGTGCTACATTTAACCTACTTATGAGGTGTGTGTGAGAGAGAGAAGTGTGGGGGTTCAAGGGGGGGTAGAAAAGAGGCGGGGATGAAACAGTTTACAAGTGATGAAAGGGGTGGAGTTTTTTAAGGTTTGAATGATAAGGTCATTAAAAATAATAATAATTTATACCAATTTCAGGGTAAAAATTTGTACATAGTGGGCTAAATGTTACTTTCTTTTTAACTTGAGGGAATATATACTTTTTATGGACATGAGGGACTGTTTGCTATTTAAATTTTTAGGGATGGGTGTATATGTCTCTCCCTAAACAAAACTGAAATGACAATTTAAAAATATGAATGTATTGTGAAAAAAGTTGCCATATTGGTTTAGCCAATCTAATATGTCAAATCAAGCTAATTTGACATGTTGTTAACTAAATTTGGTTTTTGCTTTCAACTAAACCAACTAAAACATCGATCGAAAGTATGACGAATCGTAATTGCTAGCCCAATCAAGTCTCGATAAATATGATTAAGATGCTAATCATAACTAAAATGCCCAGCCACATCCAAAAATCAATAATACGGTTGAATAGACATTTCTACCAATAAAGTTGTTGCTTTTTAAGTGTCCTTTCATTTAGGTACCTCCGCGATAATTTGTTTAAATATTAGCTTACCTTTATTTCAAAGTTCGTAGAGAAATGTGTAGAGAAATTTGTTTAAATAACTGGTTTCAACGAATGTAGAGAAATGTGTACATCTAAATGGGTCTAATGTATTATTAACTGGTCGCTAGCACAAGAAAATCGCAATATCTCTCATATGTGAAATTAGATGATTGGAAGCTTATCACTTATTGTTACACTTAAAATTTAAAACTTCTATCGAACTTCGTGCACATAAATGACACGCTCTTAGCCCGTTGATTTCACACGAGTGACTCTTAACTTCTTGTCAAAAGTAAATAATCCTGTATTATATAATTTATTATTTAATTTTTTGTCATAATACTTGTAAGCAATGCTTTAAAAAACGGATCGGTGACCCGGATCGGGCACCCAAAAAACTGATCCGGATTGGCGAATCGGCGATCCGGATTTGAAATCGGGTGAATCGGTCAGAATAAAGCTTAAAAAAAATTC